CCCCCCCCCCCCCCCCACACACACACACACAAAAGGCGGGGAGAGAGTGAGGGAAAATAAATAAATATTTAAATAATAAAAAACATCACATCATTCATGAGTCCTGAACAGTTCCAACTTTTCTACAAGATACATGCGCCATGCAAGATTCAAAAAAACGTTATGATCCCATAAACAAGAAATGAGCAATAGCAACCAAAAGAGAACTTACCACATTCAGGAGGGCTAGATGATATCTTGAAACTGACAACATACTCCGGGAAAATGTGGCTTTTCATATTCATATTCCAAACAAAATATTGACTTGGATTATGAAGGTCATCTACTCCACTGTCAAAGTTTACAGAACTGGGATGATATGGTACACATCCAGGAGTGACAACTTCCACATTTCCCAATATGACATGACAGAATGCTATGTATCTAACCCCCTTTTCATCATCGTCGCAGTAGCTTGCACTAAACCAGTGCAGAAGTTAATCTCCAGGAATAATAAAGAACAAAAGAGTTATCCATACAGCTAAAGCTAAAAATAACATAGTGCAGTTGTTTATATACTGTTTCAGTATTGCCATGACCGTAATGTGATTCTTTGTCAGGATCATATAGTGCAAAAAGAGAATGGAAGAGGAGGTGATTTTCTTTAGCATGAGGCGTGGATTTTAAAAACCAGAAAATCACAACCAGCATTAGTATTTGTTGCAAGGGTTGAGAGATCCATAAAGCTCATAAAAACATGAAAACATATATTATAATATGGTAACTATTAGCCTATTATCTCATCATACAATAAACCGCCATTAATTTCCATATACTATTTAACTGAAGGAAGATGAAATGCATACCTAAGATTTGCGCAGCTTGAAAGGTGAACACCAGCTGTGGATGTAAGCTTCGGCTCAAAATGACCTACCCCATGTAGCATGCTACCAGCTAGCCAACCATACTGAACATTGGCATTCCCACGACTCTTCTTGGTTATCTCTATTTGTTTCTTAAACAGATCCAGTCTATCCTGCATTAAATGACTAGACCAGCGTTTGACCTCAAGTATTTCAATGTTCTTAATAGATTCCATGCTCATTAAGAACATATTTTTTACATCATCCAAACCCACAGTTGAATGAATTATTTCATTTTGAGGCGTCACATAACAATCAATCTCTTTTATTCCTCCAACAGCCTCATGCATTTGAGCAACTGGTTTCTGACTATTAGTTTCACTGTCTTCCCAATCCTCACCAACATCAAAAGTTTTTGCTTTGATATTAGATATCTTAGTATGCCTATTTGACTCTTCAATATAGCCTTCTGATTGAGAACTATTTGCTTCAGCTATTCCAATTTCAAGATGCAAATTGATCTCTCTCATTCCAGTATGGTCTGGTAATGCCACAGTAGAAGCATCTTCCAGCTCATACTGGTGGAACCGATGCATCACACTGTCACCCGAATAAAATTCTGGAAAGAAACATTGACCATTGTCATCAATCCAAGCAATGTGCTGCTGAATAGCTGTTTTCAGTTCCACTTGGATCATATACAAAGCATCTAGCAGCAAATGCCGACCATTCAATTCCACTTCAATTGCCGCATTTTTAATTTGAAACTGTTCCCTAATCAACTTGACAGTTATCTGAGGGTAATCTACCCAATCCCCATCTTCTTGATATAAAAACCTCTTGGGAAGTCCACTTCTGCTAAAATTTTTATAGTTTCTAAGAAAAGATCTCCTTGAGTTTGGCCCACGACTGACTTCACAGTCATCAAGTCTCTTGCACTTGGCATGTCTATTCCTAGACGAGGTCAACTTGGACAAAAATGCTTCGTAGCCAGCTCCAACATGTGTCGTGCCTTGATTTGCCCTTTTCCTCTTCAAACCCACAGTAATCTTTTGGCCATTATGCTGAACCCTAGTTAACTCTGTTTCCATATTCATCTACAATAAACAATCCTTATCTACAAACTAAATCCTAGAATATTTACAAATCTACTCTCCAATATCAAGGGATTAGATAAGCCATGCAGCAATTGAGAAAATTCATAAACCCTGCAAAACAGATTTAGTTGTTAAACTTTCAATTTATTAACTTGCAGATTCTTGTTATTAGTCAGAAAAATTACAATTATGCTCCAATGATGAGCATCAATATCTTATAGAAAATTACTTGGCACATTCAAGAGCTTATAGGTAATAAATAATTTGTGGGAGAATAACAAATGACTAGCAAAAGAAAATATAAAATCAGATTACAGAACTAATGTACATATTTTAATGCGACACATATAGTCTACAGATGATATCATTGATATAATTCCTAATGTTTCTCAAGTTAATTTTCTGTATTAGAGGAGTCCATAGTAAAATAAAATTAACGCAGAAATAGAAACTCAATTTACAACTTTTCTGCATCCTGTAAGAGGCAAGAAAGATCTCATTTTTTAACATTTCTTTGAGAAGACCAGAGGAATAGGGAAAAACTGAAAGAGGAGCATGCAGAGTAGCCAAAAAGTGTACAAAATAGTCCCATACTTGACAAGAGTAACAGAAAGTAAGGGATAATGTTTATAAAAACATACTGAACAGAAAACACGAAAACAATCTTTCATCATATCAAACTTTCTTCCCAGTATTCAAGATCCTGCCTTCCACAGATCTTACAAAATTGGACAATGGAGTGTCATCTGTCGAATCTAAATATGATTCCGAAACAAAAAGAAGATCCGCTGCTTCAAGTAAATAGTTTGGACAATAGGTTAAAAAAACTTCTCTACACCACTTTCAAATCTGTATCAAGTAATAAGTCATCACAATTCATACGCAATTAACAAGATACACAAGTCAAGGTTAAGTACAAAGAAGTATCGGAGATAAGAAGCAAAAAGATCTCTTTTCCTTTGGGGTGAAATCTTTCCTTTGGAATTATGCTTAAGAAACATTAGCGACAGAAGGAATCTCCCATTGTTATGCTTCACTTAATTGTTGCTCCATTTGTCATGGAAGTTCATAATCTCAAGATCACCGCTTCATATATTGCTCTCACCTCAAGTTTTATGGTGTCGGTCCTTCGAACACCTTTAATGTTCATTAGTGTGCTCCCCCTTTCCATCCTCTAAGGCTTGGAATTGTTAGGCCACTATTTCCCACAAAACCGGAAGGTCTTATCAATTAAAAGTTTTCTTAACTCACTTTGATGAAAAAGAAGATTGTATGTTCATTCTAGGACTTCGGTGCTCTCTATATAATTCTTTTTTGTAAATATTTTGCTTTTTTATCATCACCACTGGGAGAATCTTTTGTAACCCAATTGGTTTGGTTAAGGCGATGTCTCTTCAACCTGTTTTCTTTTGCAGTATTCCTTCTTCATAAAAGTCAAAGTCTGGTAGTTTCCTATTATTAGATATGAAAACCAAAAAAAAGTAACAAACTAATCTAGTTTACTATGGGTGTTTGAATGTAACTTGAAGAAGGCAGAAATAAATAAAATGATCATACGACCAACAATAAGGAATCTGTCAAACTAACTGACCACATAAAGAATGAACTGCAAAGGAAGAATCAAATTTTAAGAAACAAGACAACGAAGACCAACAACAACAACCATCATCAATTAGTTCTACTTTCAGTAGCATAATGGATTCAATTTTTTTTATCTAAACAAAATGATAATAATTATAAAAATAAAAACTTAAAATAAAGGTTAACGGACGACCCAGGACTACAGTTAATTTTCATGGCTTCCCATTGGGCCTGTACTTATAAGCTTTATACGTTTATAGCCTTAGAATGCTATCATAAACAAACCTTGTTTCGTATCATTTATCAAACAAAAGAAAAAGCGGGACAATAGCTTAAAACATAATTTTTCAAAACATTTCTAAACTACAATGGTCTGATCTAAAGTTAATAAAACAAGTTCCGAGCAGAAAATACCGTTGTCTGAAGTCAGCGGTCATCCTGTACAATCCGCTCATTTTCCCCATTTTCTACAGCTACAAAATCAATCAAATTATTCCCCAAGCAGCTAACATACCATTGAAATCCTTCTACAGAAAAGAAACCGGAAGCAATTAGACGAGGGAAAAATCATAAATCGGTTTAAAAAAAACTAAAATATTCCAACCAACAGAAACTTCTAATTCAGAAATCAAATTATCAAAGCACAAACGATCTTACAGAAAACATAATACTTTTTTTCCAAACAGCAACAACATCATCAATCGGTTCCAAAACATCAAGATATCGAATACAGTACCCGATTTACACAAACACAATCCCGTAAACAGAAATTAACATATAAAATCGACAGAAGTACCTCAAAATCACAACCTAAACTATAAAAAAAAACATCCGGAAAAGATACGACCAAATAAAAAACGAGAAATCGGAAATTAAGAATGAAATCAAAAGCGAATTACATGAAATCTGAGAAGGAAACACACAGATCAACGATGAAGAAGACGAAAAAAGGGAATCTAGGTCTTCGGACGCCGATTCAGGGGTAGCAGCAACGAAAAGCGGAGCGTTGAGAAGATGGAGATGGAGATGAAACGACGGCGTTTGATTCTGTCTGGAGCTGTGGAGGACTCGGCTGAGCTTTTCATTGCGACTTGAAAGCGACGTTTGCTTGGGGACGAAGTTTAAGAGAAACGGTGTCGTTTTGTGAATACAGAGGAGGCCCACAAAATGGTTGCGTATTTTTTTTTTCTTTTCTTTATTTGTTTAATTAGTTCTTATCTAGGGACGGAGCCTTTATTTAAATATTCATGATTTTAACGTTTTATTTTTATTATTTTTTAAATAATTTAACAACGACCATATAATCTTAATTAATTAGATTATTTTAAGCCGTTTAAAAAATAAAAAATTAATAGTTTTGCTCTTTCTCGGGCAAGATTGCCATCCGACAAAATATATATATATATATATATATATATATATCAAATATACGATAACCCTCCTGAGTGATCTTGATCTTCTAATGAGCAGTTTATTTGGAAAGTAACGTCGATATATTAATAGCACAATAATTATTTTACTCTTCTTTCGAACTCGTTGAAATCTCGTACTAGAAAAAAGTATAAAATTCACCCATCATCGGTTACGGGAAATTTTCTGATTGTATTTTTGTACTCAAATATTAGTATGAAAAAACTATTCGCTAACAGAATCATGACTCGATATAGATCCAAAATCGGTAATAACTATTATATACATCTTTAAAATCATTACACATTTTTTCTATAGATTTAACTCAGTAGCAGCTTTCTCGTATAATTTTTTCGATCTCCGAGATGAAAGTCGTAATAGCGCGTGTGAGATCTCATATCGGTTGGAGAGGGAAACGAAACATTCTTTATAAGGGTGTGGAAATCTCTCCCTAATAGACGCGTTTTGAAACTGTGAGGCTAGGGGTGATACATAACGGGCAGAAACGGACAATATATGCTAGCGGTGAGCTTGGACTGTTACAAATGGTTTCAAAGCTAGGCACCGAACAAATAACCAATAAAGATGCTGAGCCCTGAAAGGGGTGAATTGTGAGATCCCACGTCAATTGGAGAGAGAAACGAGTGTTAGCGAGGACACTGGTTCCCGAAGGGGGTGGATTGTGAGATCCCACATCAATTGGAGAGGAGAGCGAGTGCGAACGAGGATGCTGGATCCTGACAGGGGGTGGATTATAAGATTCCATATCGATTGGAGAGGGGAAGAGTGCCAACGAGGACGCCGGATCCCGAAGGAGGGTGGATTGTGAGATCTCACATCGATTGGAGAGGGGAACGAGTGCTAGCGAGAAAGCTGGGCCCCAAAAGGAGTGGATTGTGAGATCCAGCATCGGTGGTTGGAGAGAGGAACGAAACAATTTTTTATAAACATGCGGAAACCTCTCTCTAACAAATATATTTTAAAATTGTGAGATTAAGAGCAATACGTAATCGACACAAGTAGCCAAGAGTAGGTTTGGATGAAAATGAAAGTCATAATGGGAAAGTTGATAGCCCAAGGATGTTGACAAATTGGGTGGAGAGAAGACCAAGACGGATATGGATGGTGCTTCTTCGTCAAGTTTCGGCTAATTGCCTCGTGGACGCCACCACTCATGCCGACAGGCGACAATCAACAAAGCTTGCCGCATAATGTTTGTCCCTTTCATCGCCCATTTGAATCTCAATTTGAGCAACTATGCCCATTTGCATTCCATGAGGACAATTTTTTTTTACAATCAAAACTTTTATGATACAATTGTTGACGTAATTTGGGTAATTTGATTGAGCGATTCAAGAATCGAGGTTTCAAGGGGTGAGGAATAAGTACGAGCAAAGATGCTGGGATTTGAAGGGGTGGATTGTGAGATCTCACATCGATTAGAGAAAGAAACAAAACGTTTTGATAAGGGTGTAGAAACCTCTTTTTAGCATACGTGTTTTAGAATCTTGAGGGGAAGCTCGAAAGAAAAAGCCCAAATAGGACAATATCTGCTAGCGGTGAGCTTTTGTTGTTACACTTATTTTCCTGTAATTCAAACGATGTTGGTCATTGATCGACTGCCCATGCTCAGATAAATCAACTCACTAAGGTTGGTATCAAAGAAGTAATGAAGTATAACAATTGTGGGTATGAAGATCTGAACTTCCGATTTTAAAAGGAATGCATACCAATTACAGTCATGTTCGTATTAGCACACTATTATTTCATCGAGCCATATGGGAATCCATCAACTATAGTTATGTCCATTGATATAATTCGTACAAGCAAGTTGATCTTTAATTACATCTGAGTCAAAAGTCTGTTTTACCCTAAAATTACATCTTTCGCTAGGGGTGTACATTCAACTCGATAATTCGACAACCGGAACCAACCCAACCCGAACTATAAGGATTGGGTTGGGTTGGATAAGCATTTCGGGTAGGGTTGGGTTCATTTTTCTGAACTCGAACTGAATCGGTTCGATTTCGAGTTCGTGAGCAAAACCTTCAGATTGACTCGAGCCAAATAAAAATATATAAATTATATTAAGAATCCATATTAATGGGTTTGCTAGAGTGGTATTGAGGCCAATCTAAAAACATTATGCCCGAGTTATCAAGAATTTTTATATTTCAATTAAAATATTTTTATATAATTTTAATTTTTGTTATATACCATACATTTAAACTAATCATTTTTATTGTTTATTTAATTTTATAATCTATCCTTATATTTTTATTACTCTAAACAATTGTCAAGAAATGTCTGTATTTAGTTGTCTTTTATTAAATTTATTTATTTTGTCAATAATTATAGATGGATTTGTGTTTGTTTGTGAACTTTAATATATTTTATCTAAGATTCTATCGGAATAATTATAAATTGTGGATAAATAAAATTAAAAAAAAAAAAATTTGACAACTCAACCGAACCCAACCCGAAAATAGAGGGTTGGATTGGGTTGGGTTGTGAAAAGTTTCGGGTTGGGTTAGGTTACCAATCCAACCAACCCGAACTTTTGGGTTAGTCAAAAAAATTTCTCAACCCAGACTATGTACACCCATATCTTTCGCCTTAAATATCACTAATTTTGTGGTAACAATTTTTTTTATGATCAAATTATAAATCGAGTCGCTCACTGTGAGAGAGTAGAGCCCCTGTTATTCAAGTTCTGAAATCAGCACTTAAGGTAACTACACATATACCTATCATATATGAGAATGAATGAATTACATCTCGTAAAATTATGTTATCAATTCTCTATTTGGTTAATTTTTCTAAATGGTAAGTATATTGAATACGATAAAAAAAAAAAAAAAATCAGACATACAAATTAAAGGACAAGCCCTCAAGAGTTCATAACTCACTAAATAGTAAGATCAAATCACACATGATCATCGGTGAAATATTAATCTTTTCAATTAACAGATTACAAGGAGAGATTAAATATTTTATTGTCAACTCTCGTACAAACTCATTATTATAGAATATTTCACTCATATGTCTTCACAGGGACGATTAATAGTGTTATTAGGATAAGGTACCCAACCTTATCCATATACTATTGACTCTTAAAATTTATAGAACGATAATAATGAGTAGTACGTTTCAACCAATTAAACTACAAGCCCCTACGAATCTCTACATGCAATTTACTGCGTATCGTAGAACAAGAACCTACGCTCGATGCAAGAGCAATATCAAATTGAGTTAAACTTGCAATATTAGATATGATATCAAAATAACAAGGTTCAAGGTTGGTCTGTGAGAAATGAGGGACAAAGTTCATAATCGAGAGGGGAAACAACTTGGATCTGCTAAGAACCCTAAACGAACATTTAGTGATAAAAGAGTAATGAGAAGAGATGACACCCGAGTTTACACTCATTAACCTAATGTAGATTAGGTCAAGTTCTTTTGAATGACCACTCACAAATGGTTCTTTTCAAGCTCTTCAATGGAGGAAAAGCACACTCACATGCAAAGGTGTAGCCCACACCAAAACTCTGTCTCTTTCACGTCTTTCTTCTTTAGAGGAAACCAAAGGGGCAGACCATGCCACGTTCACCACGTTTTTTTCTTTCATTTTGTAACACCAAAACTTGGCGACCAAGTTTGGTTTAAATGGGGCAATAGGGGCTAAGGTTGTTCGGGCTCCAACTATTCTCAAATGGTTTTTATTTATCGATGATTAGCTAGGGTTTATTTTTTTCATACGATAAGTGGGTATGAAGATTTGAACCTTCAAACTCGAAAGAAAAATATGTGTCAAATATCGTTAAACTAGGCTCACTGTAGGTGAGATCTCATATCAATTGGAGAGGAAAACGAAACATTCCTTATAAGAGGGTGAAAACTTCTCTCTAAAATACGCGTTTTAAAACTGTGAGATTGACGACGAAATGTAACAGGCTAAAACAGACAATATTTATTAGTGGTAGACTTGGGTTGTTACAAATGGTATTAGAGCCAGACACCGAGTGGTATGTCAGCAAGACGCTAGACCCTAAAAAAAGGTAGATTGTGAGGTCTCACATTAGTTGGAGAGGGGAACGAAACATTCATATGTGGAAATCTCTCCCTAGAAGACGCGTTTTAAAATCATGAGGCTGGAGGTGAAATGTAATGGGCCAAAACGGACAATATCTATTAGTTGTGGGCTTGAGCTGTTACAAATGATATCAGATCGGCGGTGTGTCAGCGTGGACACTAGGCTCCCAAAAAGGTGGATTGTGAGATCCCACATCAGTGAAGCAATCCTTAGAAGGGTGTAGAAACCTCTCCCTAGAAGACGCGTTTTAAAACCATGAAGTTGACGATGAAACGTAACGGATCAAAACGGAGAATATCTTATAGTGATGAATTTGTGTGGTTACACTGTAACATCATTTTAATATGGTTGGTATAAAGGTTTTAGAAAATTTATGTCACAAATCAAACTAAACGCGAGCATAGAATCCTATTTATCTATGTGACAAGCTACCAACTTAAAAGAATCGCTAATAGAATGCCACGTCTAGAAGCTCACTTTCCATGTCTCGAAGCTTACTTTTTCCATAAATGAGATAAAAATGAAATTGTTATGTTGGGATCGTGGATGGAGACGAGCGATATTTTAGTAGTGAAATAATCA